GCAAAGGGCAGAGAACCAGGAGCACCAGGAAGATGCAAACACACAAAGACTCAGGGAAGGAAGGAGAGGGAAAAGGGAAAGGTTGGGAGAGAGAGAAAAGAGGAGAAAAATTTGAAGCAGAAGAGTAAGACTGAGGAGATTGAGCAAAGCGAGTGTGAAGAAGACAGAAAAAAACGGAGTGGAAGAGAAGAACCAGAGAGAAAGAGGTTCTGGGACAGAGAAGAGCCCTCCGGTGTGTCCCTCTGGCCTCAGAGGCCATAAGGCACAGACTGACTTGGGCTGGAAGCAGGTTTGCAGGACGGGGCAGGACTGTACGCATCAAGGATGTATGTGGGCAGGAGACGGCAGGAGGGAGACTGAGAATATCTGAGGCACCAGAGGCAGGGAAGGCAGACGGCAGAGCTGAAGAAAAGTCAGGATATGCACCAGGAAAGCGCCGGGTCCACCCAGAGACCAGACCAAAAGTTAGCCAGAGTTCAGGAAGCCAAAGAACTAGCCGGGTGTGGTAGAGTGAGTGCTTTCTTGGACACCAGGCCTCTGAGGACTAGTCCCAGTTTTGAACTGACTAGCTGGGTGACCTTGGACAACATACTCACTGTCCAGGCTTCAGTTTCCTTAGCTCCAAAACAAGAAAACTAGATGGCTCCTAAGTCTCTTCTAGCTCTGACAGCCTAGAACACCAGGAGTTTGAGAGGGCCTGACATCTAGAAAAAACCCCAAACAAAAGTGAAGAGGCACTAGAAAGTCACCCTGACATAGATGTCTAGAGCTCTCTCTCTTTTTTTTTTGAAACCTTACAAACTGACTAGGCCATATGCATGCGTGTCTAGGGCAGCCTCAGGCCAACAACCACCCAGGTTATAGGAATAGAAGAGATGGACTAGCTAAAACTATTGTTCAAGTAGGGCAGTCGGGAAGCCACTATTTTCTAAGCTCTTTTAGATACTAGCCAAGTATTGCAATACTACCCCTGTGCACAGCTGGCATATCTGGATGGCACCTTTGTCACCTTTACTGGCCTCTACCCCTAAACTGCCAATCACCAGATGTTCAGTAGACTCACTTCAGAGCTGCCTTATTAAAATCAACTAGAATTCATTAAGTACTTATTATGCTGAGCACATTATATGTACTATCTTAACTTATTAATTCTTCACACCAACCCTCTTGGCTACCCACTATTATTATCCCCATTTTACAGATGAAGAAATCAAGGTGTAAAGAGGTCAGATAACTTGCTCGAGGCCAGAAGCTCATAATTAGCAGAAATGGGCTTCCAATGTAAGTTGGCTGCCTCCAGAGATTGCTCACTAAACCACCAGGTATACAGCCTTCCGTCACTACAGAAGGGCTCTTAAAGATGTCCTCTGTAGCAAAGTCGTTTAGTCCTCTTCATCGAGCCTGAGATGTTAGTGTGATCTGCCCTACAGGAGGGGCCTGGGGAAGGGAAACAAAACGAAATGGTTTTGAGCACCTGCTCTATATTCAGCAGCGTTTGGGTACAGTTTACAGTGAAAAGTGGAAATTGACTTTGGCCCACGTGGCCAGTTGGAATCAGCTGGCCTCGATGACGGCTGTCCTTTTAGTGCATGAGATAGCGGAACTGACCAAGGCAGGGATCAAAAGATGTTATTGATTCACTGGCCCTTCTTTACTGTGTAATCATTCCTCTGGTGAGAAAATAACCTGTTGGGTTGATACTCTGTCTTTTCATAGAAGCTCCTTCTCATGATTTCTTTCTCGGTTCTGTCTTTATAACATCGTCACAAACTAAAGCCATGTAGAAGAGAAAAAGTGGACTACTGACTCAGAATTCTGCACAACTGGATGTTCATCATTCATACCTACTATTAAGCTGTTGCCACATCTGTGCCTTTGTCAGACAGACTCAGACTCATGACATCCCAGCTCTAAGTTGAATAAACTGTACAAGTAAGAAGTCACAGGAGATGAACTCTGCTCAGGACAAGGGACAAGGCAGGAGACTTGAGATGAGGCTGGTGAACCAGAGACAGGCATCTGAGGGGAGCAACACTGAAGGAACCCCTCTATGACTGACACTCTGCAAGGGTCAGAAGCCCTTGGGGGAAGCGCTTCTGTGGGCTGAATTCCCTTGTTTGCACAGTGGTTTTGAGCTGTGATATGCCCGGGCACTTTTTAGCAAAGCCAGAAAAAAAACTCCAGAGTTGCCTGAATCCTAAAATCATCTACTGTTCCCTTAAAGGAACAGTTCCAGGGCTGCTTTTGATCACTGCTGTCATGATTTCTGGCCTCTTTTTTCTAGAGAATGCACAGTATTGAAAGGGAGTCGGGAGGGCTAAGAGTTCATAGTCTGAACAAGGATAGACCAGTTGACTCCTTGCTTTCTGGACCTGCCAGTGAGTGAAATCAAATGCCCCACCTCGCTGATGTGAAGGAAGAAGTAATGCTGTGAGCCCCATGGAGGAGAGAGAAGGGAGACTATGGGCTCCCCAGCCCCAGCCCCTCCTCTGACGCCCCTCCTCCCCTGATGCTCAGGTCCTCCTTATTCCACCTGAACTTCTGTAACGGCTGCCACATTGGTCTCCTGCCTGAACTCTCTCTTCCCCATCCTACACACTGCTCTCAGAGTCACCTTGTGAGGCACCTGGTATAATGCAAAGAATCTGAATTAGGAATCTGGCAAGCTCTCTGGGCTCTTGTTCTGACTCCCTTGTCTGTAAAATGGGGATGAATTCAAAATTTATGTAATTCTGTGATCTTACTCCTTTCTTCCATAAACCTTTAGTAGTCCTCATGGCTTCTAATATTGAGTACAAACACTTCATTCTCATATTAAAAATTTTGCACAATACCCTCTCCTCCTTGCCCTCAGATAACTCTCCAGGGAGCCTAGATTACTTCCTGTGCCCTGAACGTGCCCCAGGCTTCTTTCTGGCTCTGTGCTTTTGTTTATGATAATCCCTCCCCTAAAATGCCCTCTTACTCTCTGCCCCTGCAGATCAAAATCTCTTTTGCTTGCCAAGTCTCACCTCAAAAACCACTTCCTCCATACGCCCGTCCATGATTCTACCAACAGAATATACTCTTTCCTTCCTTCCTTTGAATCTTGGTAGCCTTTCTATTATGCTAGTTTGTGTTATAGTGATCTGAATGCTTATCTAATACCCCAATCAGAGTGTAAGCTCCATGCTGACAGGGACAGTGTCTCATTCATCTGTGTACCACTTTCCGTATCTTGCATAAACTAAAACTTTGTGAACTATTTGTTATGAGAATTGAACTTTTGAAACATTTGGAACATTTAAGGTCAAGAAAGCTGAAAGATTTGGAGGAGTCTTACTCTTTGACAGTGGACGACACAATTGTGAGGAGCCCAGTTTTACCTCAGTTTGCCTTTGTGCTTCCTTGTCCGTTAATGCAAATAAGACCAGTACTATTTTTCAAGAATTATATGTAGAACATTACATGGACAGGGACTAGATAATATATTTGTTATACAAACATATTTTTCTATATCAATTGTGTTATACCAGATTAACAATAGACTTGTTCATCGAAACTTCTGCCAGGATGGGGAAGGAACTTTGTTACCCAGGATATAAGTTTGAGGAAGGCTTGATGCATAGTCCATTGGTCCGAAGTATAATGACAGGTCTCAGTAGGATTCCATGTCTTTCCCTCATTTTCTCACATTAATGATGATGGTCATAATAACGATACATGCCCAGTAGGCTCATATCTTGTCTCATCATATTTTTGTCTTGTGCTCAGCTGGGCAGTATACACATGAGTATATTTCATGAATGTACCTAATGATGATGAACTACACAGACATTTTTCAAAAGTAGAGTCAAAGATTGTCAGAACTGAGGACACGCTAAGAGACTATCTAAATAAATGGTTCTCAAATTTTTGAGTACCAGACCTCTCTGAGAATCCGATGAGAACCATAAATCCACTTCTTAGAAAAAGACACATATACATCAAATTTTGCCTATAACTTCTAGGGGTTCATTGACTTCCTGATACCCTTCCTTGGAACCCAAGTACATCCTTAATCTAAACCTTCCCCTTCTTTTATGATGAAGGAACCAAAGTTCAGAGAGATTTGGCTAAAGTTAAACAGCTAGTAGAAGGGCCAAGACTAGAACCCTAAATCCATGATCTGTCCTGTCACACATTCTTGAAATAGAAAATGTCTCTCCCTCCTTTTCAGCTCATGTAGTTAAGCTCCAAGATCACAGTTGCTCTTCAGTTAAATGAACTAAATGCTGAATAATTGGCATTGGTTTTTATATTGAGAAATTGCCTGAAAAATAGGGCAGATGTCGTAACATTTCAATTTAGCCATCGTAACTGGAAATCTGGGAAACTTCTAGAGTGCCTTGTATAATGTCTGATGTGTTCAGGAAAAGGGGACTATACCCAGAGTCCCAAAG